TGCTCACTGTGTATCTAGACTGAAGATCAAGCTCTGGGTGCATTGCCTATATGTAACATCACGTTTAATTTCCATTCTAGTCTTTGGTGTCTGGCCCTCAGCCAACACAACAGATAGCCACATATCTCGAGACACTTCACAATGAAACAGGGAAAGAACAAGAAGAAATAAACAATTCACCTGCAAACCTGAATGCAGTGATTACCATCCTGAATTTGGTTTCAAACATCTCGACAGAGGCAGATCCACGCATTATGACAGTAAGTTACAGTTAATCCTTGTAGAAGTCAGTTGGCTCTTTGGCTTCCGCTTCAGATGGGAATAGACTCCCTGACTGGGTAATACATGTGTAGTCCCCTTATTAAAGGTGCCTCTGCTTATTTTCTGGAAAGACCTTGTGTGCTGCAATCCAGACTCACAGACTACAATTCCCATGAGCCCTTGGGAAAAAACAGGAAGGAAGTGACTCTTGTGTGGGAGATCTGTCTCTCTCCAGGTGCATGAGAAGAGAGGCTTAGCAGTCTGGTACTCTGCCCTTGGATTTTGGAACAGGAGGGGAGCCAGGCTGCTGTGGAGGAGTTTGATCCAATTCAGGGGCTGTTGGAGTGCAGCTACAGACTGGGACTAGATACCTATGGAACTGGGATTTAGCAGGTTGCTTCTGATAGGCACAGCATGAGGCTGTAAGTAACTGGGCCTTTTGGGGAAAGTGCTGCTTGAGACAGAGGTGCTGCCTAGCTTGGACCCACATACACACTGCCTGCAGAGAACCTCCACTACAGCTGCAATTCTTCAAGCGCACCCACGCACGCAAGAGTCTGGGACTCTGAGTCTAGGGATGTGCACGCTTTGGGGTGAGATCAGTATTGGCAGTGCAAATGCTAAATATATAAGTTCCAATTATCATTGTGCACTTTGTTAATGCTATTCATTTTTAGTCTGTTAAACCCCGTTTATTTAACTTAAGTAAAGATTGTTTATTTTGTATTCTAGGCACTTTAAAAACACTAGTTACAAATAAGAACATTAGGTCCCTTCCCCTCTCCCACAAGAATTTATGAGCAAGATGTAAAGGATTATTAGTTTATTGGGAGTTCATTTCCACAGACTCGTGTGAGGCACATATGCAATTGTACCCATATTATATAATGATATGTATTAACAAATCCTTAACCTGTTCTGCAGTTTCAGTCTATTCAACATTTTTCCTTGTCTTTTCCAATATTGTAATCCACCTGGCTACATTAACAGGATTTATTTTCCTAAAAGGGTTCCTTTTAATTTTATTAATCACTGTTAGTTTCCTTCTCAGATCATCCTTTTGCTGTTTCTTATTACTTCCTCTGTATCTTAGAGTTTTGAATGCTGTCTTATTTGCTGCTTGGCTATTAGCCCCAAAGAACATTTCCATTTCACCCTCTTAAAATTATGCCCATACAGGCAGTCCCCGGGTTCTGTACAAGATAGGGACTGTAGGTTTGTTCTTAAGTTGAATTTGTATGTATGTCGGAACTGGTACATATTGTAGGGGAAACTCTAGCCAAACATTTCTCCAGAGCTCAGTTTTATTCTCCCACACCTCACTTCCCTCAGTCCTTTATTCTCAAGCTGAGGTGTCTGCTTAGAAAAGCCGCTCTGCGTTTCCCTGGTCTGCTGGGGGAGGCGCTAGCTTCGCATCTCCCTGGTCTGCTAGGGGGAAGCAGCTAGTGCGGGGTTGCCTCACCCCGTTTGTAAGTAGGGATCCGATGTAAGTCGGATCCATGTAACCCGGGGACTGCCTGTATATGATTTGTAGTTGTTGTTCTGGAGTTAGATCCAGATTATAGCTGGAATGAGTATGTTCCTGGAGGCTCTCAAGGCACACGAGTAAGTGTGTACAAGGCCAGCCAGGTGGAGGCACCGCCATTATACATTCATTACGAGCAAGGGACTGCAGCAAGGGGGTGGATAGGACTTTCCCCAACTAAACACCATCACTACTGGGGTGCCCAGGATATCCTTTTGGATTAAAACTATCAGGTGCCCAGGCACACCAGTGAGTGTGACCTGCTCCCCAGTAACCCGGGGAGGAAAAAAGGGGTTTCACATGGATTAGGGAGGAGCTGAGGGTGTGATAAAGTAAGAGGTAATAAGAACAAAGGTACAGACAAAGGCAAGATTTTGAAAAGCCTTGATGGGGAGGCCCAGGAACTTTGCTTTTATAGGAAAAGATTAGTTAAAAGGGTGATGTTGTTGGAGCAATGGGAGAGAGGAAAATTACTGGCAGCTCAGCATCCAGAAGTGTGCTAGGAGCTTTGCAGAACATAGAAGACAGAGTCTCTATCACAGAGTTGATGCAAGGTGCCATTTTAGGAGAATGGGGGGGGGTGAGAGGGTAGGAGAGGGGAGGTAGCTACTGTGCATACCAGGGCGCTGCTTGCTTTTCTTCCCGTTCCCCTATCAGGGAGCAAGGGGAAAGTATATGTCTTGTGTGCATGCCTCCACTCCTGGCTGGTGATGGGAGGAGCACAGAAGTAATTTGTGAAATATGTGTAGTTTCCCCTCACTCCCTAGGGGAACAGACAGAAAAGCAAGCAGCATCCCAATACACACATCTGCTGCCCCTCCCCCTCTCTGCTCTCCCAAAATGATGCCCTTGAGTAGATGGTCTTCATTTTAGACATAATATACCAGTGAGCCTGACGAATAGCAGAGAGAGCGGAATAGAGGAGGACAGAGGTTACAGTGGGATGGCCAGAGAGATACTCAAATGGTTCCTTTAGATTTATATAGCAGGACTTGGGAGATTGTTTCCTCAATAGATGATGGTGTTTATAGAGAAGCTATGAGGTATTGGGGAGAGTTGAGTGAAACCAAGATGACGGACATGGAGAAGGCAGTTGAGGAGAAGCAAGTGTGAGAGTAGCAGAGTGGGATAGGGCAGTAGTGAGGAATTATGGTTAGACTTCAAACCTGGAATCCAAGCCTGGAACCAGGCAAACGTGCAGCAGTATTAGAAGGAAAGATGAGTAACTATGTTTCCAGTTGATGAGCTCATCACCTATTAAACCATTTTGTTAGTCTTTAAAGTGCTACATAGTTTTTAGTTTTTCCTTTTGTTTTAGCAAGATCAGACTAACACGGCTACCTCTCTATTACTACGTTTCCAGTGACCCTGACTTGACAGGGGACATCCAGAGGGAAATGTCTGAAGGATTGCTGGGCAAAAGATGAGGCCACGCTAGCAAGATAAATTTCAGAATATACCAATATTATTACTGGTAGTTGCAGTGATTGTAAAGAACTTCATTAATACCATGTTTTGTCTCTATTACAGAATTTCCTCTCTACAGTGGACATTATTGTCAGCAATTCCACAATACCTGCCTGGAAAAAACTGAACAATCAGGAAAAAGAGAAGAGTTCCCAGTTACTGAATTCAGTGGAGAGATTTTCCCAGGCCCTTCAGCCAGTGAATAATACCATTCCTTCTATCACCAACACCAACCTTCAGCTGCAAGGGATAGTTATCCCAGAAAATAGCACATTGGACTATAATAAGACCTTTACTTTCTCCAGTTCATCAAACCTCAGTGGTAACGTGCTAATTAATAGCACTAAGATTCAGAGCCTGGTACCAAACACAGCCATTATCAGTGTGGCTTTCTCAACACTCAGATATATTCTGCCCATGCCCAATGAGACAGATGTGGTTGTGAATGGCTTGGTAATGACAACAACAGTGAGCCAAAGGCACCTGCAGGGCTTCCAGATCGCTCAGACTTTTGCCAAAGGCAATACTTCCCTGAGAGATCCCCAGTGTGTCTTTTGGAACTTCTCTCTCTCTGACGGTGCAGGGGGATGGGATGGCACAGGCTGTCAGTCGAAGGACAATGGAGACAATGTCATTTGCATCTGTGATCACTTGACTTCGTTCTCAATTCTTATGTCGCCCTACATGGAATCCACCTCTCCTGGAGACCCATTGCAGCCACTAGATTACATCACCTACATTGGCCTGAGCATTTCCTTGGCGAGTCTGGTGCTCTGCATCGTAATTGAATGTCTGGTGTGGAAATCTGTGACCAAAAACAGAACCTCCTACATGCGCCACGTCTGCATCTTGAACATAGCTGTGTGTCTTCTGATCGCAGATGTCTGGTTCATTGTCGCTGCCGCTCTACAAGACACAAAGAAGCCAGTGAATGGAAATGTCTGCATAGCTGCCACCTTTTTCATCCACTTGTTCTACCTTTGCGTCTTTTTCTGGATGCTTGCCACGGGCCTCATGCTCTTCTATCGCCTGGTCTTCATTTTACATGACACGAGCAAGACCATCCAGAAAACTGTAACATACTCTTTGGGATACGGGTGCCCTCTCATCATAGCAGTCATCACCATAGCAGTCACTTATCCACAGGATGCTTACAGGAGGGAAAACGCCTGCTGGCTCAACTGGGAGAACAGCAAAGCGCTCCTTGCCTTCGTGATCCCCGCGCTGACCATTGTGGCTGTGAATTCAATCATTGCTGTTGTAGTCATAGTGAAAATACTAAGGCCTGCCATTGGGGAGAAGCCAAGCAAGCAGGAGAGGAACTCCTTGAATCAAGTAATCAAAAGCATTGGCATTCTGACCCCGTTATTAGGCCTCACCTGGGGATTTGGACTGGCGACCGTTATCAAAGACAGCTCAATAGTCTTCCATATACTATTTACTCTCCTCAATGCTTTCCAAGTGAGTATCATGTGTGCACTGCTTTATTTTTCATGACCACTTAACTCAGACTCATAGAAAAAGAAGACAGGAAGGTGTAAGCACCATCACCCTCCAGAAGTCACAGGAAATAGATTGTGTTTCTTACTGGCCGGTCACAGATGAAGGTGACACCCTATTCCCAAGGTTTCTGCCAATAAGTTGTGGGGTAATTCTTTCCCCAAATTAGGCAAACAGCTCTACTTTGTGTGCGTGAGCAAAATTCACTGTGATTAAGGATGTATTCCGATTGTGTGTGTATTCTGAGCTACCATCAGATTCTGTTTTCTCCAATGCTACTCTAGCCAGTTATCACTTCCAATTATTTTGTGATTGTAGAAAGACAGTCCAGATATAAGACATAATAAATTGATGAGCAATACTCATGGGATGGGAAGTAAACAAGTGAAATGGATCATCCCAGAGCCTGCCCAAGCTACGGGCTGACCGAGCTACCTCCCGGGGCGTCCCATTGTAGGATGCACCACGCTGGGCTGCCGCGCATGTACTGGGTGCCTGGGGGTGGGGCCATGCATGTGCCAGGTGCCCGGGGCGGAGCCACGCATGCGCCGCACTCCCAGGATCTGGGGCGCATGAATGGCTGATTTTTTTCTCCCAATCATAAGCTAAGATTTTGTGCTTGCAGAATGAGTTCTAACTGTTAATGAAGTAATCTGGGAATATGGACTTCTGGTTTCTAGTCCTCTCTCTGCTTCTGATTCTGCCCTGGGCTTTTTGTTCTATGGCACCTGATCAGCCTCTAGAGCTGGGACCATATGCCTTTTCACTGAGAACTTCAGAATTTTTCAGTTTTGTTGCACATGAGAAAAAACATCCAACAAATTCTGAAATATCAAATTCTTCATTAAATAGATTACCGTTCTCTACCCAGCTCTTTTAACAAATAATAATGCAAATATATAAAGCACTCAGATTCCTTTAGTGAAATGCCTTATAAAACTGAAACTATCAGAATTATTATGCCACTAAGGTAAGAGGTGGAGGAGGGGGAGAAAATGTTTGGAATAAATATTATGGATTTTTTTTCCTTTTTTTGCCCAATATCGAAAATTGTAAATTTTAGGGAAAATTGAAAAGGGACTATTATGTGAAATATTTTTTCTTCTAATGAACAGTGAAAGAATTTTTAGAGTAATGTTTAAATTAATATCATTACTGCTGCCCTTCTGGCCTTCCATATATTTTCTAATAATAACTAATAAGTATTTTAAATGAACAATATGTTTCTCTCAACAAAAAAAGCACCTAGCTAGTTGAGTGTACAGCTGCAGCTCATCCCTAATTCTAGATGTATTTATCTTTATTATCTGAATCAAAACGTTAGAATTTATACTTATTTATATTTCATAAATATACCAAACAGGAACTTTTGTACGTGCTATCTACATTATACATTTTGCATTCTTAAAGAAGTAATCCAATTTTGTTTTAATAAGCAACTACTGCAGATATTTAAATATTTCACAAAATTTCATTTCTGAAATAAAAAGAGAAACATTTTTTTTCTCGTGTCTTTAAAATTTTCCATCCTAGTCACTTTGCTTATAACTTTTTGATAGCAACATGTTAACTGCACAGTGACATCCAGGGAAAGAATGCCAGTTACTATTGTGAAAACACTGAACAAGAACTACTGCGTTATAGATTTACAATAGAGTGTTTAACTGGGAACCATCTTCTCATGAGATTATTTAAAGACACACAGACATTCATAACCAAGAAATTCCTCATCTGTATTGGCTTGTGTCCCTTCTGTGGGCAGAATTATAACTATCTATATTACATAAATGTCTGGAGACCTCAAAGAAGATGAGGACCCTATTGTGCTAAGTTCCTGCTATGACAATCTTCTAGTTTAAGTTGTCAAGACAGAGAAATGGTGGGTAGAGGAATGCTCTAGTATGTGGTTAAATCTGGACAAGTATATATACTGTTAATATTTAAATATCTTATTTTCATAGGGATTATTTATTCTGGTGTTTGGAACTCTATGGGATAAGAAGGTAAGAATTTAACTAATGCTTTACACCAGATACAAATGTAAGTTTATTATTTGAATTGACTGCATGGGTTTACTGATTGACTCTGTTTGCAAAATACAGGTGCAAGAAGCCTTGTTGAATGCATATTCATTTACAAGATGGAGTACGCAGCAAGCAAAGGTTAATCCTAAAAATGGATTTCATAGTTACTTTATTAATACTCTGCAATATATTTTATTAACCCAATGTATTTAATACTCATACTTAGAACATACTAAAAATGCTCAAAAAAGAAAAGAAGTGGGGGCAACTCATGATTTTTTAAAAATCTCCCTCTTTCTTCAAAATTAAAAATATTGTGATATATAGTCGGTCAAAAATGGGGGGAAGGAAGTTATGGAAATATAATCAATATTTTTCCTTTTAGAAATTAGAGTCAACATTTCAAAGAAATGTTGAAATTTGATTGATTTTTTTGAAATTCAAAACAGGTCAACCAGCTGTACTATTAACACCATATAGGGTTCTATAAAGAACCATACGTACAAATGAGATACTGGGGGAAATGTTTTGTCTACAACTCACCCAATCAGAAATGATTGGCTTATCTAAAATTACACATTTACTGTTACAGGGGATGGGTTAGCCCGATGCATTAGTTAAATTACCTTCCGAAGCCAATAGGTCCCTTTTAAAAAGAAAAGACAAAAGCCACTACACTTTGGGGGCTGATTCCCACTCCTTATTCAGGAAAAGCCCTCACTGGACCAACTCATACTCCCCTCAGAATCAGTGGAATCTGTACCCACTGCAAGATTTTGGCCTCTGTCAGTGGGAGTTTTCCCTAGCAAGGTGAGCGTAAGCAGAGGAGATCAGGCCCTGTGACCACACTTCTTAAAAATAATTAATTCACGTTCCTCTTCTATCTTGACCACCTTATGAACCCTGTGTTTCAAATCTACAAAATTACATCCTTTTTTCCACAGTGATTCAGTCTGATGAACCTTATAAAAGCATTATTGCATTTAATAAGGAATGAGGACCCTGCTATAGAATTTTTAAATCAATCTATTGCAGTGATCTACTTAAATTCTATACACTTTTAAATTTCTAGTGAACGCCTCTTTTTCTCTGTAGAACCCTTTTGGTCATCCCTATAAAATTCTATAGGTCTTTTCCATAAAGGAAATTTCCTTAATCTCTCTAGCAAGATAAATTCTTTCTCTCCCTGCCCTTCTGTGAAGTACCAATTATTTTATAGTCTCAAAGTGGTAGCCGTGTTAGTCTGTAACTTTAAAAACAACCAGCGGTCCTGTGACAATTTAGAGACTAACAAATATATCATGAGGTTGCATATAGTTAATGTTCACCCGCCCCCTGGGGGATGGAATCAGATTTGCTGACATAGTTGTAGTAATCTCATGTGCGGATGACTGATCTGAAGAGGATGTCGTCTGTAGTCCAGCTGCAACGCTAATGGGAATTCTCCTTGAGCTTAAAAGGCAAAAGCCCTCTGCTGCTGGAGTGAAAGGGCTTATAGTCTAACCCCAGGTGTCATATGCACCATTTGCATAGGTAGAGACCATTTGTGGCTGTGACTTTATTTTAGGGTTAATCTGTCGGATTCCCTCTTGTCCATTCTTGTCACCATAAATGTGGGGACACACACACGCACACACATGCACACACAATCAGTCTAACATCTCAATCCAGTCCAAACAGAACAAGCCATAAGAAAACAACCACAGAGAGACGTAAAGTGGTTTGAATGCTACTGAATGCCACAATAGCTTCATTATTCCTTCTGCAACAGATTGCTTTAAAGCAGGGGCTCTCAACCTTTGCAGACCACTGTATCCCTCTTGGGAGACTGATAGCTCTTGTGTACCCCAAGTTTCTTCTTATATAAAAATGACTTGCTTACAATAGCAGACATAGGGCGTGTCTACATATCAAAGTTATTTCGGAATAATAGCTGTTATTCCAAAATAACTATGCGAGCGTCTACACAGCAATTCTGTTATTGTGAAATAATTTCAAAATAACGGACATCGTATTCCAACTTCTGTAAACCACATTCTATGAAGAATAACGTCTATTCCAAAATAGCTATTTCGAAATCAGACGTGTGTAGACACTCCACTTCTGCTATTTCAAAATAGCCCCTCACCAGGGCCATTCTAAGTTATTCCTCCTGGGGCTCTAAATTGAAATAGCATGTCTACATTAGGGAAACCTGCCTCTGACTTATTTTGAGGCTTCCCTGCAGTGTAGACCTGCTATTTCGGAATAAGCTATTTCGGAATAACTATTCCAGAATAGCTTGTTCCAAAATAGCTGTGCAGTGTATACATACCAAGAGTCACAGCACAGTGTTACTGACAAATTGTTGACTCGCTCAGTTTTGCCATATAATTACAAAATCAATCAACTGGAATATAAACACTTCTTACATTTCAGTGTATGTCATATAGATAAGTAGAAACAAATCATTGTCTGTATGAAATTTCAATTTGTACTCACTTCCCTAGTGCTTTTTCTGTAGCCTGTTGTAAAATGAAGCGTGTGGCTAGAGGAGTTGATGCATCACCTGGAAGACCCCTGCATACCCACAGAGATACATATGCCCCTAGCTGAGAGCAACTAGTTTAAAACACCCTTTTATCTGGCCTGCCCTACATCCCATTTATATGCCTCCTGTGTGCCCCCACTGAACAGAATTTTATTCACACAATCTTTTTTAAAATGTTGCTCCTGAAAATGGTTTTGAGTTTTAACTAAAACTAGTTTCCGTCTTACAGTCAACGTCCCTGGATGTTTCTGCTCCTGTGTTTTCCATGAGCTCTCCTTTCTCAGGCACACTAAACAACTTATTTGGCAAAACAGGTAAGTGACAATGGCTATCTCCTAACAAGTACAACAGATGGGATTTTTGTGTCTTTTCAAATCTTTTTCAAATAGCATCTCTCTATCTATCTACATACGTTTGGTAGTTCCATTTTCCAGTAGCTGAATGCAGTGGAACGATTGGATTTACAGCAGTATAACTGGGAGGTAGAGCTGGCCTATTAGGTTTGTTTAAAAATTCGTTAGATTAGCTTTTTCTAAAGAAGTCAGTTATCTCTAGCAGCTTCTGGCCCTCAGAAACCGAGTATGGACTCTTGAGATCAGAGTGACTGGACTTGAGAAGCTAAGGAGACAGAGACTTTTCAGGACACAGTAGAATGGTCCCATCTCAAGTCCAGTCTCCTGCAATGTTCAAGGGAAATAAAAAAAACTAACAGAATGTTATGAACCACTGGGAAAGGAATAGATAATAAGACAGAAAAATATCATAATGTCACTATATAAATCTTGGCACACCCATACCATGAACACTGTGTATGATTTTGATCATATCACCTAATATATTAGATTTGGGAAAAGTACAGAGAAGAACATGAAAAAATATTAAGGGTATGGAATGGTTTCTGTATGAGAAAAAATTAAAAAGACGGTGACTGTTTGGCTTAGCAAAGAGATAGCTAAGGTGGAGGACATGATAAAATTCTATAAAACCATGTATGGTGTGGAGAAAGTGAGTAAAGAAGAGTTACATCTACCCCTTCACTTGGCACAAGAACCAAGTGTCACCAGATGAAATTAATAGGAAGCACACTTAAAATATAAGAAAGTATTTCTTCGTGCAGAGCACAATCAACCTGTGCAACTCATTGCCAGGGGATATTGTGCAGGCCAAAAGTATAACTGAGTTGAAAAAAGAATTAGTTAATTTCATGGAGGATATATCCATTAATGGCTATTAGCTAAGACTGCCATCTTGCGACACACCCCATCCTCTGGTATTCTCTAAACCTCTGAGTGCAAGAAACTGGGACTGGACCACAGGGGATGGATCACTCTATAAATTGCCCTCTTCTGTTCATTCCCTGTGAAGCATCTGGCACCAGGCACTGAAAGAAAGGATAATGGGCTAGATGGACTATTAATATGCCCCAGCATTGCCGTTCTTGTGTTCTTATGTTCATGACATGGTGTAATTAGTACAGTGCTGAGCAATACTGCACCACATAGAGGGGAGGAGGTCTGACAAATGCACCTGTTGGCTGTTGGTAACTATTTTACTAAGGCTAATTTATCAATTGATACTTAGGGAGGTATTGTTCTAAATTAAACTCAGAAAAACTTGGTCCCCAAAGGTGTGATCTTTTAAAGCCAACTATAACTCAGAAGAGACGAGGGAAGTTTTGGGCGGACAGCAGCAAATACTAATAAATACCAAGCAATTATAAAGTGTTTTTTAAATCACATACTGAGGCAAAATTTAGTGCCAGAACCTAGCGAAATCAAAAAGATTTCATCAGCACAACCAAACAGAATTTGTCCTAAAAAGCCAAGCCGTGATTTTCCAAAATGGGTGTTTAAAGTTATTCTCCTGCTCTCACATTTAAGCACCTCAGTAAGTGACCTCCTTGCTTTCTGTGGGAGTTGCTGATTGCTCAGCAATTTGAAAAACGAGTCATTTATTTAGCTGTTAACTATTCATATATTTGAAGGACAAACAGAATGATTCTGAAAATGAATGGAGGAATTTTTCATTGGGCACCCACTTTAGAATTCTGGCCTCAGTCAGTTTGCAAAAGTATAACGAACAGTGGAATTTACATCGGTATCTGGAACTCCGTAATGGAATTCAGTGGTCACTTGCAAACAATCTAATCCAAGTAAACATAACCTATTTGTGTTAGCATCTGATACAAATCACAGGTCCTGTTGTTTTTGTGGTCTATGGTGTGGCCACAATCCAGATGGCATCCTTACTATGGATAGACGGGTCTGTGTAACATATTTTGTTTTACAAGGTCAACCAATCCAGTGCTATTGTGTCTTCAAGTTCAAAATATTTTGTTTTTCTTTACAGGAAAATACACAGTTTCTTCCACTGACACATGTTCATCTACGGAATACACCTCCAACACATATTCTTTGCTTCAGTGACATGCTGCAAAAGTTGAACCAAATCTCTGTGAAGGGACCTGGGTCTTTTTGCCAGTCATACATCAAAAGAATGAAAAAATACTCTGTGAAATACAGAGAAGTGGACTTTACCCAGACTGCACTGTGCTTTGGCACGTTTTAAGAATCAACCCTTCTATTTAATATGTTCTTACTATTTGCTCCCATAGGGGGCAGATGACTCAGTAGTCTACATTTCGTGCTTGAGCTATCTAGCCTTCCTAGCATGATGTGTTCAGACCCTAAAAGGTTAACTCAGAGTGCTGACCTTCTAAGACCTGGAGCATACTGATGATTACTACAGGGAGACCTTTCAGATGTGACATAAAAACACTTGGGGTTTTTTGTCGTTGTTTTTGTTTTTTGTTTGTTTGGTTTCTTTTCAATTTTTGCTCTAGTTTAATACTGAGGGCCCTCTACAGGACTTTTGTAAGAACAAGATGGCTTATCTTATATCCCCAGCTAAAATTTCCCCTTCCTTCCTGGCTTGTAATGCCTTAGGACAGGGCTAATCAACTTTGGAAGCCCTGGGGGCCACAGTGATACTCACAGCACAGGCCAAGGGCTGCAACTTAAGTGTGATCACATAGATATGCAAATATATGCAAATAGCTTCGGTCACAGTGACAGGTATGAATACAAAGTTTAAGGCACGACTATACAACACACAGATCCCATTTAAGTCAGTTCTGATTATATTAATAAAATGCAACATTTACCTGATTTCCACCCATATGACGGCACTTTTAATGAGCCATGACAGTCCAGGAATTTAACTACTAAAACAATTATCAACAGAAGACCATTACATTGACTACTTTTTTGTTTTGGCTCCCACCTGCAGGCTGCATGGTAGGTCCACAGGCTGCATGCAGCCCACAGGCCATGTGTTGAGTAGCCCTGCCTTAGGAGATGGTTGGTTGCTTACTGTAGCCCACAGGCTTGCATTCCTGTGGTGTATATAAGATCCCATTGTGTAAGCTTTCAGTGATCTTCCATTGACAACAATGGTAGTCCCACACTTTGCACTTCCAGGAGTAAAACAGTGAGTGACAGGCATGATGTAAATTATTGTTATCATGCTGAATTTGTAGCTTCTCTGTTGTTTCCTTGGCTGCAGATTTTGATGTCCTTATACAGAGGATGATGACAGTCATCTGCAAAATGCTCGTGACCAAAGACAACCTTGTCAATGAAAGGAATTTTGCAATAAAAGGATGTTTAGTCCAATCTTGTTTGGAATAAAAAGTATTTCACAAATTCATCCAGTTCTGGATTAGGGACCGGATTCACTACCGTTATCAGAGGCTGCAACGCCATTTGGCCTCAGGGGAATTATGCCTACATGAGTGTGGAAAAAGTGAATGAGGAAAAGTTATTTACTTATTCCTACAATATAAGAACTAGGGGTCACCAAATGAAATTATTAGGCAGCCGGTTTAAAACCAACAAAAGAAAGTTTTTCTTCACTCAGCGCACAGTCAACCTGTGGAACTTCTTGCCAGAGGATGTGGTGAAGACTAGGACTTTAACAGGGTTCAAAAAAGAGCTAGATAGATTCATGGAGGTTAGGTCCATCAATAGCTATTAGGCAGGATAGGTAGGAATGGTGTCCCTAGCCTCTCTCTGTAAATGGGTGACAGGAGAGGGATCACATGAGGATTATCTGTTGTGTTTACTCCTTGTGGGGAATCTGGTATTGGCCACTATCGGCAGACAGAAAACTGGGCTAGATGAACCTTTGGTCTAACCCAGTATGGCCATTCTTATATTCTTATGTGCCTGTGGTGAATTTGGCCCTTGACTGCACTGAAGGATTCAACCTGTGTTGCAAGGAGAGAGACGTCACTGTTACGCAGGGATGAGGGGTGGTAGTGGGAAATAGAAACGTATTGGTCAAACAAATTCTTTATACCAATAGCAACTTGTGTTTGTTTTAAAGTCTCTTCCAGTGTGAAAGCTAATCTTCGAAATGACCTTGTGATCTGCAGAGCTAGAATAGGGGCGAGGTATTTAAATGGTTTGGGGCTTCAATGGCTAACAGGAAATGGTTTGATTTTTTTTCCAGGGCTTTGCTGAACAGAGAGGAGAAAAGGCACTGGCTAGGGGTGTGGGCTTTGGTGTGGGGTAAGGCCTGGGATGAGGGATTATGAATGCAGAAGGGGGCTGCAGGCTGGGTCAGGTAGTTGGGGCGTGGGGTGGGTGATGGCTTCAGCTGGGAGGTGTGGGCTCTGGGTACATGGCTACACTGGAGAGTTATTTCAAAACAACTTCCCTTATTTTGAAATAACAAGGTGAGCATCCACACCACCAAGCTTGTTATTTCGAAATAATAACTCTTGCTTGTGAAGAGGAAAAAGCTTATTTCAAAATAGTTATTTTGGGAGGGTATGTCTACACTACAGCGTTATTTCAAAATAGCCTATTTCCAAAGGACGCACCTAGACACAAAATGCATTTCAAAATAGCGTTTTGCTATTTTGAAATAGCGCGTCCACACTGATAGGATGCTGAATTGCATTTAAGGCCGGCCGGAACCGGTTCTGGAAGGGCATCAGGTCAGGAGTTACCTTGTGTGGCTGCTGCCTGAGGCTATCTGAAACCTGTGCTTAAAGGAACACCCCTCTCCCTCCCCCCAGACAGCCGGTTCTAAGGTTTCCCTGCTTTCTTGCCTATCTTCCTTGAGGAACAGCAAAGCATTTTTTTCTCTGTATGCTCTGGTTGCCCTCACTCAGGACACCACAGCACTCTGCAGCATGGAGCCAGAGCTGCCCTGGGCACTCTGGTGCTTCTCCTGGACATATTGCTGCGAGCCTGGCAGCACATTCTGCAGGCAATAACAATCTCCCTGGTGTGCCCCACTGGGGACTTGTGCCTCATTCCTCCCTCAGGTCCTTCCACTTACCCCTCCCTAACCTGCCTCCCTGCTGTACAATAAAAGACACGTCTTCATTACAACAACGCCTCTTTATTGAACAAAACTGGGGTGGAAGGAGAATGAAACTGAGGTGAGACTGGAGAAAGAAGGTGGGAGAGGAGAAGAGGGAGGATGGGAGAGGGGAGGGGAAAATCTGGGAGGAGGGAGCTGGCAGAGGGAGTCAAGGGGAGGAAAGGGGAGGAAAAGCTCAGGGCTCAGGACTGGGGGTCTCACCATTCCAACAGTCTCCCAGCACCACGGGTGCGGGGGCCTCAGCATCACTGGTGGTATGGGGAGCAAGAAGCAGGAGGGGATCTGGGAGGAGGGAGCTGGCAGAGGGAGTCAAGGGGAGGAAAGGGGAGGAAAAGCTCAGGGCTCAGGACTGGGGGTCTCACCATTCCAACAGTCTCCCAGCACCACGGGTGCGGGGGCCTCAGCATCACTGGTGGTATGGGGAGCAAGAAGCAGGAGGGGAAGAAGGAGTGGTAGGAGGAGCGGTAGCTGGGGAGGCAGCAGGGGCTGGAGCAGCAGGAAGCAGCAAGCTCTGCTCCAGGGTCAATGACCACCTGGGGGGCACGGACCATCCCGCCCCCCAGGATTTGGTCCATGGTGGCAAAATAGGGGCAGGGGTCTGGATCTGCCCCTGGTTGGGAGCTGCCCTCTGTGGCCCTGGCATACACCTGCCACTGCTCCTTTATTTTCATGCAAACCTGCTCCTGGGTTCCCATGTGGCCTTTGGTGGCCAGCCGGGCAGCCATCCGCCTGTAGACGGTTGCGTTCCTCTATTTAGTGTGGAGTTCATGGACGTTGGAGGCATCCCCCCAAACCTGAGTTAGGTCCCTGATCTCTGCACTGGAGCAGGCTCCTGGGAGCTGGCAGACTGTTCCTGGGGAGCAGTGGAGGGCTGGCTGCCTGGCTCATGGTGGGGCCACTGGGTCAGGTGCAGGAACTGCTGGCTCTGGGCTGGCAGGCTTAGAGCTGGCACAGGCACTGTGGCCAGAGTCTACCCCTTTAATGGCTCTGAGGAGAAGAGGAGGGAGAAGAGTTTTCTTGGTTGTGCCCAGAGTGGCCACCAGGGCACCCTGGATAGGGCTGGAGGCCGCCTATTTCGAAATAAGAGTACACAGCGCTTATTTCGAAATAGCAATTTCGAAATTGGCGTTATTCCTCGTGGAATGAGGTTTACCAATTTCGAAATAAGCCCTCCCCTATTTCAATTTAATTTTGAAATAGCGGTTTGGCTGTGTAGACGCTGGTAAAGTTATTTCAAAATAACTTTGCTGTGTAGACATACCCGGAGTTATTATTTCTTCTTCTTATTTCGAAATAATGTAGACCTAGCCTAGGAGGGCAGGGAAGAGGGGTTTGGGGGGCAGAGAGGGCTCCAGGTTAGGGCAAGGAATGGAGGGTGGAGCAGTGTAAGGACTCTGGCTGGGGCGTGGTCTCCAGGTGGAACACAAATAAGGGTGTGGGTGGGGACTCTGGGTTGGGATAGGGGGCTGGGGTAGGGAGTCCAAGCAACACTTATTACGGCTCCCAGAAAATGGCTGCCAGGTTCCTGTGGCTTCTCGGTGCAGGGGTGACCAGGAAGGCTCTGCCCACTGCTTTTATTCCCCCAGTTCCTGTGACCGTTCCTGGCCAATGGGAGCTGCACTTGGTGTAGGGGCAACCTGCGGATCACTAAGAGCTGCACGGACCTGGTAGCTGATTTTGGGAGCTGTGCAGAGCCAGGGCAGAGAGGCAGCCTGCCTTAGCCCCAGGCTCCTGCTGTGCTTTCATCTACCGATACCCACCTTCCTCTCCTTCAGCTTGTGGTAGACTTAGGGTTCCTTTGATCCCAGACTCAGCCATGGAAAACCCAAACCACTCTAGCCTGGCTGGAGCTATTCCCCAGTAAACTGCTCACCTGTGGTGTCCTCGAGGAAGAGGCTTCTCACTCAACAACCTCATGGTAGTTAACGCCTGGCGTTCTGGCAGTATCCTGAGGGGCACTGGCTGTTTATCAAAAATGCTACATGCAACACCCTCAGCCTCCACAACTGGTCCACAACACGGTGGTGGACAGAGCATGGGAGTTTGGAGCCAGGGTGTTGGTTCAGGTCTCGGGATTTCTTGTATGGAAGCCTTGAGAGCTATTCCTCAAGCAGCAGCTATAGAATCCTAGGAGGTAGTGATGAGAAACACACAGAGATCTGTCTCCTACAAAACTAAGCTATAAATCCTGCTCTGCAGAGCAATGCAAGCTGACAACTCCCAAGTTTGCAGCAGCGTTTGTAAGGAGCCAGACAAATACAACCAACAGGGCTGCTCTGCCCCCTTCCTGCTCTGCCTCCCACCCTGCCTCTTCCACCCCCTTCCCAAAACCCCCTCCCCCAAATGATGCGAGCCAGGAGATTATTGGAGGGCCTAGTGTGGGGCAGCATCAGGGGTCGGACCTACGCACTTGCCATGATTGGGAGCCAGAGCAGGGACGTGACTCAGAAGCCTGCTTTGCTCTGTCACCCGTTATCCAGCTGGGTCTGTCCACTTCCCACTGCTGTGGTGAAGCAGAGCAACCCGGCTGGGAGGTGGAGCAGGCTGCAGGCTAACATCAATATGGGGGGACCGTCCCGTCCATAATATGGTCGGGGCGATTGCTGTGGGGGTCCCTCAAAGCCTGGGGC